AGATGTAGCTAGTTCACACCTACGACTGTCGTTGGCTCAAGTAAAAAGTTTCGTATGCATTCTGGCTGCTCTGCCTATAAACATAAAAACCATATCAGCACCTGGCGCAGACGACATGAGAGCCGTGTCAGTGTTAGGTAGAACTTGGCAGTAGCACCTTCAGCCCAGATCGTGGGGCTTCTGGCCGCCCCAAGATACGGCGGCTCGTGTGCAGAGTCCACGCGTCGGACGAGATCACCTGACTCCACCTGCCAGGCCTGGGCGTCCCAAACTTTCTTTGACCAGCTGCGAAGAACGGCGGTCAGCCTAAGTCAGCCTAAGCTTTTGCTTGATTTTGCGTGTTGCATGGCCGTTGCAGAGCGCAGTTCGCAGACTCACGAATTTGAGTGAAACCAGCTCTGGTTTCTTCTCGTTGGGAGTGCCCTCCGACACGATCCATTAGCCGTTTTTGAGAGAGCGAGAGTGCTTCTTCAGTTGTTCGAGGGATCTCTGCAGCTGTTTGGTAGACAGTAGACAGTGAATTGAGCCGAAGCTGCCCCGAATCTCCTGAAGCTGCGAGCGCGCAACGGAAAAGCGCAAGTTTCAAGCGCGCGAATCCTCCGAGGCACCCGACGAAGGGGCTGAGCTCTGCTCTCAGAGGCAACGGAGACGCGGAGATTTCTTGTCTTCTTCGGCCTTCCGGTTGACAGACCTCGGAAGCCCCGGCTGTCGCCACGAGGCCAGAAGCTCCTTGCCTATGTCTCTTAGTTTCTTGAGTGGTTCCAAGACACAGGCATGCTACTTGTTTGCCTTAGCTTTGGCTCAGCAAGAAGAGCAGCAATGCAAGGAAAGCCACATTCCCAACAAGCGAATCTGCCGCCTGAAAATACCCAAAGCCAGAAGTTCACTTGCACGGTAGATACTGTAGCTTCACCCCAAGCTGGCTGACGCGGGCGCCAGCACGGAGCCGATCTCGAGGAGCACAGGGAGCGCTTGAACTGCAAAGCGCCGAGCAGCCGAGGTCCGAGGCCGTGAGCATGGCCAAGGACGCCTTCGCTTCGAAATCAGAGCCAGATGCCGCAATGTTGCCTCATGTTGGCAGGAGGAAGAAGTCGCAAAGAAGTCCGGTTACACGCCAGGACCTCAGTTCAAGCCCTGGTTCCAGACCGCCAGCACGTGTTGTCGTAACCACGAGCACGCATTCCCCCTAACCATGGAACGGCCAGCGCGGCATGGTATCCCCCCCAGCCGCATCGTATCTTTTGCGAGTCGCGTCGTAGCTTTCCCTGCCCTGACCCTGAACGCCCCTAAACCCTAGCTCTAGCCCTACCAGTGCAAAGTGTTTTCTAAGCCTTTTCTCTGTGAAACTTCTCAGAGGGTTGAGCAAGCCTTCAAGGTTGCGAGCTCCCCGACTGACCTTCACTGCTTTCCGGTTTGTGCAAGAGCTTTCGCGAGGCTTGACAGGGGTCCGTCATGCTGGGGCCCTCGCCCGTTTTGAGGAGGATGGTGGCAGGCATCCGTTGTACAACTGCACAGAGCAATCCTAGTAGTGGAAGCAAAGGAACGGCGTCCCACCATCCTACATATCCTACAGCTGGGCCCTCGTGCCTCCTCTTCCAAGGAACCGGATCCGCATCTGCGTGCAGAGGATTGCCGGATTTCGCTCGTGAGTCATGCCGCTTAGTAGTACAGCCTGCCAGCCGGGAGTGGTTGAGAGTTTCCTGGCGAGACCTTTGGCTTATTATTCAAGCAACACATAGTGCGAACAGACTTCGATGCCTCTTACAAGTCTGAGGTATTGCTTTGTGAGCTCTGA